GGATTATGTTAATAATTAATTTAAAATGCGTGTTGGAGTATTATGATATTATATGAGCTAACTTAAAATAAATGATATTTTATAATAAAATAATGGTTTTTTTTCAGACAGGAAGGGACTTGACTCGACCTACTTCCTTCAACCAGTGTAATACCAGCGGATGCTCGATTTATTTATCTTCTACTCTATCTTGCAACCAACTTTACTCTCTCGCCACGTTTGCACAGCGAGTCCTGCGCGCAATAATTCTCTAGGGGTAACAGGACTCCGCGTTATCTCGGTTCTACGATTACATCTTTATGGTTTTATAAAACGACTCGTGCGTAAGAGATTCTTTTTTTTAATCCCTCGTTCGATTGAAGGAAAGAACACGGGAATCGTGTTTCCGTGAACGCAAGGTACTTCCCTCGGTTTCTCTTACCCTTGTGCAAATTCGCTTTATCGTCGCGACCGCCGTGGAAAGCCTCGCGCCCCTTTGCACCGGCACGGGAGGACTTCGTGTGTACACTTATTTCACGCTCGGTGGAACGACAGGACTCGAAGGGAACATCCTTCTCTCTTCATGAAACGCGTAAAATCGAAAAAAGCCGAGATGGAATATTTTTCAGTGCACGAACCGTGATAAATTTGAGCGGTAATGTACTTTCGAAAATGGATAAACGTGAAATTTAAAAATCTGAGATATTATTTGAAGGTATCTCTAAAAACCGGATATATACATTGATATAAATGTACGTTAATAGTAAAGATAAGAACACCGTGTGAAGTGATTCTACGTAAAAAAAAGCATTTTATAATCCTACTTTATTATTTTGCCAAGCTTTTTTTCAACATAGGATCACATTTATTTAATTAGCGAACTCGATACTGTAATTATATATTTTTTACCAGATTGCAGATAATAATAATTATTATTAAAATACATTTTTTTAAATGATAGCTTGATCTTTAACGATAATGTAAACATTTCACTAAAGTCCATATTCTCATATTACATTGTGTGCATTAATTTCTAAGTCTTTTTTTTATCTATAACATTTCACGAATTTACTAGAATCAAATTAAGATTCCACGTTTCACGTTATGCATGTGGAATAACATCAAAGCACAATGACGCAAGCGCTTAGTGATAGAAGATGCATTTCATAAAAGACCACAGCTTAAGAGACGCTCTGTCGTCGCAACGTTTTCTCTTTTTCACTAATGAATTCTTCATTCGAACGAGTAATTGGTATCTCGCATTATCCTCAATCAACGTGACTGTCCTCGCGCGGATCTCACGGACGAGGCGAGGGAGGCTGCGGTATCGGTGAAAGCAGAGCTGAAACCGCGGCGAGGTCGGGTGGGAGATGCTGGAAAACGGTAGCGAAAAGTGCATCAGCATGGGGGCTTTGCTGATTTACGAGGAGTCGTTGCTAGGAGAACATTAATATCCGTGACGGAATATTAAACCGCGAGCGTCAATGGGTAGATCTTCAAAGGGATTTCCAGGGTGTCAGGGACGAGGAAAGGAGAAAGAGAGAAAGAGAGAGAGAGAGAGAGCCGCATCCCCGCAAGATTATGAGATTCTCGTTAAGTGTCACGTGTAAAGAGTTCTTTCATACGCGGCCGAGCCAACCCCTGGATAGCGTTGCTTGTGAAATACTGTCAGATAAAGGTGACATGAAAATTTATCGAACGTGCGGGGTTTTCAGAGATTCGCTTTAAACTCTTCCCCCAATCCTCGGCTCTGATGTCCTGTGTACGATGGAACGTAAGCTGGCTTACTTCGCCAGCGGTTTTACCGCGGTAAGCGAAAGAACAGAAAATTGCGCGGATGGAAGCGAACTCGGAGCTAAGTTTAAAAAAGTGCTCGTTTCACGTGGAATTACTGTGAAATTTTTATCACATTTCTGTAACAGAATTTTCGCAGACTTTATCGCGTTTATACAAAGACGACCAATCTCATTTTGTCGCGTATCTCAGAGTTTTGCCTGTCTTACGATCTTCGTCACATCTTATTTTATCTTCACGATCGAATGTCGCTTGCGTTTAATGATTCCTATATATCGATCGAGAAACGTCCAATTGAATGTGACACCGTGACGGAAACTTTTTTCTTCGCGCGAAATAAAAATCAGTGACTTTATCCGCAGCAGAACACGAGCGGAGCATTCAGGGAAAGACGTTTAATGAGATAAAAGAAGCGGACCGATTCCGGTAATAACGAGGGAGCATTTTTATAACGAGGATCGGCGTCGACCTTCTCCTGGGGGACAGAAGCGAGACGTTCCTCGCTCGCGTTCGCCGCTCGTCCCCGTCGTGTACCCTGCCGCGTTCCGTCCCTTCGGCGCCGGTCGCGGGCAGGGGCGGACTTAATTATCTAATTAATTAACCTCAATCAGAACGATGAGTAATTTCTCGCTCGGGTGGCGCCTTTGCCGCCGAGACTTTCTCGTCGCGTTGACTGCAGGGAGCGAATTACGGATGAGCTCACGGCAAATCGATTATGTCCCGATCCTGTCGCCCCGAAACGGCGTGTCTCCGCCGTAGTAGTTCGCACACAAGAGAGGGTCCAGGATCCACGATCCTTCGGCGATATCCTGCTCTAGGTGGCCGACCAATTTTCCTCCCCCGTGCCTCGCAACCGCCTTTATCTTTGGCGCTTATACCGATCGCACGATAACTCGGTCGTGAAGGGCGATTGTGGTCATTCGTCCTTCGTGTAGAGTTCAGCGCGGTGAAGCTTGGGTTGATTTGGGGGGATTTTGGGTAAAGAAGATAAATGAATATCCTCGCGAATCGCAACTGACCTTTACTTTGATTATATTCCCATAGAGAATGTTTAAAAGAGAAAATGAGTATCACATTGAGTTAAAAAAGATATCTATATCGCATGAACAATAGCGATATAGAAAATTAACGAATATAAGTCGTCTTGGGAATAATTATTTAACATTCTAGAATCAAATGTCGCAAATTTCAGTGTCGCGTTTATTTAACCATTTAAATTCCCAAACAGATTCTCCCCTCGTAAAATAATAACGACCCTTTCGCGGCGAACTCTCAATTTCTATTCTGGATATCTCAGGTCGCTTCTCAATCCCGTCTTTTCTCTTCGACAAAAGCACCCCCGGAGCTACCATCCAGCCGTACCCTGATGCGGCAGCACCGCCCCCGATATGTAACTGACGTTTTTGACGCGTCAAGTGGTTCCATCGCGCTTCCACCTCGAGGGTCGCCGCGTTTATCGGCTACTGTTTTACATAAACATCCCCGGGAGGGTGATGGATCGGTGAGAGCGAAGCTGCGGACGTCGCGCATTGCGACGGGGCGTAAACGCATCGCGGAGATTCCTCTAAGTGATCTCAAGTGTTTTCGCAGTTGATTCGGCGTCTCTCGCGCGTCGTCCATCACCCCGCAAAGCGTCCGCTCGAAGCTTTTTAAGCTCCGTTTAACCCTGGCCTCGGGACCCGTCTAACTTCGGTATTTAGTTAGTCAACCCTGCCCGCGAGGCATCATGGGAAACGACAAGTGGCCCGGTCTCGCCCCAGCTAGAGCCTGCCGATGCTCGAGCATATCACCGCACCGGCTGTGTACATATTCGAGCATTTATACGTCACGTTGACACGCGTGTGTGTGCGGTTTGTCGCTGCATGCCGAGCGGCCTGTATGCCTTTCATGTGATAATCCTTGTGTATTTAATCGAAGGATGTCGATGGAGCCGACTCGGTGCTTGACGCAAAAAGCAAACGATCCCTCGTGGATTAGTTCATAATTTGCTTTGAGCGGAGGGCCGGATAGAGGAGGGACCACTCGAACGCGACGGACGCGACTTTCAACGAGTGTTTGTTTAACAGTTTAGATTTTTTTTCCCCTCGACTTTGATTCCTGCCGCTTTTCGATAGTTACTGGATAGTTACTCGCGGCTTTGTTTAAGTTTCTGTTAAATGTACGTTTTAGTTGTCGGTACCAGTCCCGTGACGAAAGTGTCTGCATAGCATAAAGTTGGATTTAATACCTGTGCTATTATCTCGCAGTCCCTTGCCGAGTTGAAGCCGCGGAATAGCACGTTTTAATGACGACGACGTAGTGGTGCTGACGTTTGAAATTTTGGTTCGTAAAATTATAAAGCTCGTCGTTTACAGCAAATTGCTCGCATATTAATTAAAATCCCCCATAAATGGGGATTATGAGTTGCGTTGTATAAAAATGAGAAAGATTATAGGTTGCATTTCAAGTTGTTATTACGTATTTAAGTACGATAAGCATTAGAGACAGTTCGAGAATGTAACACTTATAATAATAGCGGATTATGACAATGATAAGGATAATTATGACCCCAATGCGTTCTCTGCGCTGTCGCGCTTCCTATCACTTATCGAAATTACGCTCTCTCTTATCGCGGGAATTATTCGTACCACTCGTGTCGCAACCTCTGCAATCGATAAACGCGGCCATCGCTATATGAAGTCACCTGCTTCAACATACGCTTTCGCGCCTTAATTATGTTTATATGAAGGAGATTACATTATCGCGATCCCGCGAGGTGTTATTATACGAGTCCACGCGGGGGAGATAATATCCTGATAAGGGAGCTTTTCAGAAGCTACGATACCAATACATAAAATATCGCAATTTGAAAACTATTAAACACAAAGTGTCAAACCTGCATCCAACTGATAACGTTTTTTATTAGCATAATTTTCTAATAAACTGAAAATTTATACGATTCTTATTAAAAAGTGCTCATTATACCAATATTCGTTAAACAGAGCTCTCGATGAAAATCGTTTTGTTCCACGAAGTTCGGAACGGGTTTCCGCGACATTCCGCTATTCTCAAGTAACTCGAGTGGCGAATGTAAATGAGATACATTCACACGATGCTGTCAAATCGTCTGGAAATTCTCGTTTCGCGTCTTATCACAGGAATACGTTGCTCGCTTTTCGCGCTTGGTGTGCTCGAGTTTCTCTAATTTTCGTAACTCTTTACTTTGCTAATGGATTACGCTCTCGAGGATGTTCTCGCAGAGGCCGTGCTATTTCTCACAACTATCGAGAAACCATCCGATTTTGAAGCTCGTTGACATTTACGACCGTCAGGTAACCCCTTCGAATCAGCATTAAAGCCAAATGATTTTGCCATGACAATTGTTTTTGACATTTTTTCTATCGCTGTTCATATTCGCAGTCGTTTATACGAGCATACGTTTTGGATAACTTCTACGTCTGCATTTTGATGTACATTTTGTTCTATGTAGCGCTGTGGTATGCTAATAACGTAAGTAGTCCGCATAATAAGTTATGATTACAAAAGCAAGAAACGAGATATACTTGTACATAGTTAATATATGTATATATTTATTAATTATATATATTTAAAATAAATGTAGAAATATAAAATATATGCGTGTGTGTAGTTAATTCATTAGTTTACATTATATATTTGCATCTATAATTTAAAAAAAATAGACTGATTCTTTAAACCTCAGATTAATTTTAATATATTTTTCGATACAACCATTTTCAAGATAATAAAACGAATTGAGAAATCAAATCGAGAGATGTCAATAACAGTTGCAGAGAATAAGACGGTCAGTTCAATTTTGTTTATGACATTTATATACTCATTCAAGATCAGCCTTCCTTTTACATAACGCTATAACCAATGCTGTTGTGTTATGCATATTTATCAAGAACTCTTTTCAGAAACTAGATAGACTGGTTTTGTTAAAAAATAAGAAGGCGGAATTCGAGGAAGTAATCGTAAAAACGGTCAGCAGTGTTTCAATAGTTTCTTATTTTTTACTTTTATAGTAATATTTACTATGTATATGTAATTAAAGGTGCTAACTTTACAGACAGATGCGCAAAAGATGACTACGAAATATTTGGAAGATGAAGTAAGTTTAAAAGTTATGCGAATCATCTACGCATAAGTGAAACTTTTAATGCTTTAATGTTCAATCGTAACTATTGAATTTATTATTCAGATGCACATACTTAGCAGAGAATTAATTACGACGTCTAATAAAATCACCGGATTGGAAAAAGTTGTTGAAAAAGTAATGATCGCGTCTCTCGACGTTTATTCTGCGGTTAATCATATTACCAGCTTCAGTAATTGTTATTAAATCGTAGATGGTTTTTAGTACAAACAACCAGACAAATTACTTAATTCAGCCATCGAGGGTGAATGTCCAAAAGAATTCGAAGGAGTCACGAGCCCGTTCGAGAAGTTCAAGGTGAATTAAATGCATTTTATATAAAAAAAGGAACATTTAAATAAGATATTCTAAATCTTACATTATGAACTAATAAATAAGATCACGGGTTAACGAACAGAATTAATTATGAATTAATTCCTTTTTCATATCAATTTCCATACAAAAATATTTATTGTTTCTTTGTCAGAATTTATTCCCAGCAATTTAAATAAATTAAATCTTAAAGATTTTATATCATAATCAATCTATTACTAACAATAAGTTAACATTAAACATATATTTTTATATAGACATTAAAGTAAAAAAAAAAAACTAATAACTGGTTGCATCTTGCGCAAAATATTATGAAATATGATTTTAAGATTCTCGAACCGTCATTTCCACCGTCTGTACCACCGGAACCTCCGCCTCGAAAGTACGGGATCTTTGTCAGTAGACCGCCTGGGCAGCGGAGAACGTCATCTGCAGCTGCATCTGCAACTCCACCGCCAAAAATCGGACTCAAATAACAGTGCCTCTGCAGAAGCTTCCTCCGAATCTGTAAATCAATATCGTAAGACGTTAACTACATCATAATAATATTTAATCTTCAGATATCTATGAACAAACTGTCCAAACACCTTTTTGCGTATGAAAAATTATAAAAGCAAAGTGTGTGAGATATATATATATGTCAGTTCATGAAATTCGAAATGTGTTGGCCTAGAAATCGCGTATCTGCAATTGTAATTTTAATACATTCTGTTTTTCGCATGTGAACTGAATAGCGCTCGTCTTATCTATTTCCTTTATGTCAGTCGTTCTATGCAAGATTTAAAATTTTCTTTTTTTATTCTAGCTTGAAATTTTTAAAAAATTGTATTATAAAGCCAAGTTTCTGCATATAAAAAATATTTTTAAATCAAGTTAATTTCACAATTCTATTTTATAGCTACCAATAAGATTCTTTCACGATACAATTATCATGATGGTGATCGAAAAAGACATCCTAATAAGTGGCTGTCCACAAAGATGCGTTCGCGACGATCTTCATGTTGCAATATGCGTAAAATTCATATGGATTCCTTAAGAAATGTCACACCTTTCACCAAATCACTATTAGGATTGGCTACCATTTTTCTCCGTGGACATTCATAAAAGTAGAATATTTTAATAATTTTAATGACTCATAAATTCAATAATTTTTCTTGGCATCGTTTTTAAAATGATCGTTCTTTAATGAAAGTATATTACAAATTATGTCATTTTAATATTTTAATATTTATTCTTGTAATATTATACACTACTATAACAATTGTATAACGAGATTGTAATAAATACAATAAATATGTAATTTTATTACACACACTTTCTCTCTCTTTCTCTCTCTCTCTCTCTCTCTCTCTCTCTCTCTCGTTTCAATTCTTTTCTTATAATTAGCTTTGAAAGATTTGCACTATTGCTATTGCAACAGCCTTTACGCTAATGTTCTATAGCTTGTTTTTTTACTGAATATCTCATGGACGTTTTTTCGCCATAAGCTGTAGTTATTTACATAATGTGTGCAATAGAGATAAAAGTATGCGCACACGAGAGGTAAATTTTTTACGAAACGATAGAGCAAAAGCGTGTTTAATTTTTTCCTTTTTTTTATGTTTTCAGTAAATATCTCTTACACATAACTTACACATAACTTCTTTGCGTAAATTGCACATGTTGATATTAACTGCAATATATGGGTGGCATTTGCATTCACATTAAAAGACGCGACCTGATTTAAAAATAGTTCTTCATAAACCTTGATCAAAGTGAATATTTATGCAAACTTCATTGCGGGACATTCAATAAACAAATGTGTTGAATATATATAGTTTCATGGATAACAGCGAGAGAACGTTTCAGAAACAACTAAAGTATGTATTTTATTAGTAATGATCCAATGGAAACATATATCACCATTATTTTCCTTCCCGTATTTTTATCTATCAAAAAGAATATATTAATTTTAATCTTAACTCTTGCTATGTTATTTAATTATATTGTAGTGCGAATATTTGCACCAATATTAATATTGGTATAAAAATTATCTCGCCGCTGTGATTTTCATAATTATTATTATATTTTTTCTATGAGGAGAACAGTAATGTATCAATCTAGTTTTCATTCTGCATATATGTTACTATTTCTTGTTTAGAGTACACAGATAACACGAATAATATAACTTTTTTTTAGATATTTTATATTTAAATTAGAAAAAGATTGTAACTTGTATATAATTTCTGTTATATATAATATAATATTATTCCAAGGTTTGAAAAATTGCGAAATGCTTAGATAAAAAAAAACTGTAATAGAAAAGCAAAATAGTTTTTAAATCATCTTGTTTATTCGTTCAGCTATTAGGTTTGTCAGGTCGTACATACTTTCATTCGAGGACGAAAGTCTTCAATTAGTTAGTCTATGTGTGTTAAGATCAGCATGCAATTGGAAAGCCTTTGCTACATACGCGCCAATCTTTCGATGTAACAATCCGCTCCACTTGTTAATTATCCACTGACGTTATCATCTTTCTGCTCCGTTTGCCACGGTTCAATTGACTCTTCTCAGTTTCCCAAGCATTTTCACACTGTATCATTCTTGAAATAGCACGGATATCGCGAGACACCATTATATATTTATCGAAAATACAGTGGAGAAAAAATAATTATATTTTTTATTAATTGTAAAATTAATAAAAAATTAACTTTTGTTGACTAAAATTAATATATATCTTATTTATTTTTCTATTCTAGATTTATTATCTATAAAAATAATTGCAATAAAAATTTTGTTCGAATTGGTAAATAATTTTAACTCGTTTCCTCGGAACCATTCTTTCATTCACGCGGTATAAGATGCTTCTTTTTTCGTACTTATCGTAATTTTTTTGACTTTAAAGTGCAATATGTTACGGAGCGATACTTGTTGTAAACTATTGCCAATACTAAAAACAGCACGTTTTCCCGTGCGATTTGCCTCGCTCGAGCGGCAGAACTACAAGCTATCGGAACTCGTGGACTTGCGAGCGATCGGCCAACTTTCACTGACGACTTGTTAGGTTCGCCGCCGTAGTTTCGAGTCATTCACAGTCATTCCGCGACTTCAACAGACTGCGGTTGCGCTGCTCGTATTTCTCTCCTCGTTGGAGACGGCAAGCTGTCACTCCAAAGTGCGGTTTGGTGATAGATCGGTAACAATACGTAGTGGCACGTTTGCAAATTCTACGTTTTGTTCAGGACGTTCTCCCAGTTTTTACGGAACGTTATTGTGAACTCGTTTGCGTCTCGCACAGACGTCTCCTGGTGACACAGTGATATTCGACGTCCAGCATTTCATCCGGATATTTTTCACGGTGAACCTTCGATTGTGCGTAATGGAGAAACAGAGAAATTTGTTGCAGCCACGTGACATATACAATTGCAGGATCGGCGCGCGATCCTGAGTTACGATCCGCGGATTTCGATTTACGCGTGATTTGATTTAGCGATCGAGTTGAAACGCGCGCGTGATTTTCGAACGTCGACGTTCGGGGATTGATCGTCCGCTCCTCGGTTAATTGCTTTCCGAAATTTCGCACACGTCGACGCGCGATTTAATGGGCAAATCGCATCGTTCGCGTTTGCGAGATATGAGAATACTTTGCCGTGCGCGCGAATTATAATCGGCGACGTCATTCGCAAATGCGAGTCACTTTGGAAGTGAATTCCGGCGCCACTCCCGCTCGATGACGGTGTTACAGCTCGGTGAGAGAGGTCTCGCGTCGTTTGCGCCGTGTTTCCTGGGACAAGGGAGTAGAAGGAGAATTCCCGTTACGATTTCGCCGGTCATTTCCGCGACTCCCGTGCGCTAGAAGTGCATTCGACAATACAAAGGAGTCGTCGACGTCGCGCTCGAAGCGGCCGCGGCTCTCGAGAACGAGCTTTGTCGCTTCGGATGAAAGTAAGACGAACATCGTAAGAGGATTTAGCTTTATTGCTGCGGCGGATCTTGAAGAAAGTGGAAGTTAACAGAAAGTGAGAGTCTTCTCGTCTCTTGAGAGAGAAAGAGAGAGGGGAGATAAAGAAAGAGAACTGTAACCGGTTCACAGTGTCGGCCGCCTGGCCAATTGCATCGATCGCGGGTCCAAGGAGAGGTATTTGTTTGGACGATCACGCGTATAAGTAATTGTGTTTCTTTGAGAATTCAGGTTAAGGCGAACTTACCGCTCCCGCAGTCGCGAAGCATGATCGACTCTACTCGTTTACGTAATAATACGTGATCGTTGAAAGCGGCGGAGTCATCGCCGCGAATCGACGTTTGTACGTTTATATCATTAGATAACGTGTAACTTCACATCTGTTGTGATGGGTATCATGTTTATTTCAATGATACATGTAACGAATAAACAACTATAGAATCATTCAAAATTAATAATCAACTGGATTTCAATATAATCCTGCCGCTTTGATTTTATACATTTTTATACGTTATATATATTTTAACATAGAATATAAAACGGAGTCAAATTTTTCTAAATCTACACATTATGTGTTCGAATTTGTCCCTTAATTAATTAAATCCGCTCGATATTTCATACTTTTTCAGACGTAATTCTCTACCTCTTTGGATTCACAATCATCATTTCATCAGTCTTGTGTCTGATGAGATTGTCAAGGAATTAACAACAAATTAACGGATTATCTCTAGTCTTAACGCCTTACTGAAAAAAAATCAACATGGACACCAGTACGGTGCGTTTGGTGATATTTTTGGGGATGTTTCTGGTTTTCGCTGGCGATTATAGCGCGTTCATTGCTTCGATTTTCGGTAACGCGACGGAGAGCAACATAACTGATGCTGTAAGAGAACCCGAAGCTCAGTTCAAAGGGCCCCATGAAAAGATACCCGTTGTCTCGAAAATAGACGTCGATAAGAATAACGGTAAGAATGAGGATATCGTGTAAAAGATATACGCGATGTAACGTGAAACTTTCTCACAGATGCGTTACGAAATAAAAGAATACAATTATATTTACTTTGGACACAACACGATGATATCTTATTCGAGCTGTAATTTTATAGTTTGTGAAAGATACCCTTGAGTGTAAACTGCTATTTTTCCCTACAGTCATTGCATAAAAATATATTCGCATACGAAATCCATACGCACGTGTGTCGTCATACCATTATTCATCGAGTTACGCTTGTTAGTTCGCGTGGAGCTAATTGCTACTCTGCGAATTGATTAATTAGTCGCGCGCTCGTCCGTTTTAATTATTTGCCAACATTATCGAGACCTCCTCCACTCAATGTATGTCTCATTTGTCTCGCAGCTTATCGAAATCTCGCTACGACCATAACCAGTTCTCGGTCAAAAAAATGCTATTGGAAAGTAGAGCACGATAAAATGGATTTCAATCCGACGGAGCGTATGCGTAGTATATTCTTAAATATTAAAGATTAAATATTAAAGATATAATTAGGGAGTGATGTACGTATCCTTTAACGATAATATTTAATTAATAGTTACGATTATTATAATATATTTATGACATTTTGTGATTGCATTTTAGTATGTATTACTTATCGCGATAAACATCACAATATAGCTGCCGATTTGTATCATTATTTAATAAATTACTTTTTATATTAATATATAGAAGAAAAAAATATATTTTAGGTATATTAAAAAATACGGCCTAATTGATCAAATATTTTCTAATAAATTAATACCACGCGGTATTGTCTTTTAATAGCGGAAAAAAATATAGCAAAAGTAGAAACTATAACGTTACTAATACATTTGTATATGAATTCAGTTTCTAAAGATAGACTAAAGATAAACGAGAACGAAACACTTTTTGTTCTGAAAGTAAAAGTGTCCTCCTGTCACGTTCCAGATCTTTAGAAATTTTCAAACTGCGTCCTTCGCTCTTAACTTGTCATTTACTTATCGTGCGATTAAACAAAGCCGGTCGTTTCATACGAATACGCGTGGTCATTCGGAATAATGCATGTGATCCATTAATCGTCCCATCACTCAGAATGATATTGCATGTGTCATGATATAATTGACAGTATAACTCCGATTTTTGTGCAGTTGCTTTACGCCGTGCGAAGATGATGGCGACAATCAAAACTGCTTGCTTGCCGAAGCTAATATGCGAACTCACCAAATCCGTTCACCAAGAGCAACTAAGTGAAATGGAGCGATCTCTTTTGAATCTTATAAGGTATGCAACTTTTACATCCTATTTACATCTATTTCCTTTTTTCCACATGTGTAGTATTAAAAAGAGAAAGTGGCTCAGTTCATATTAAATAATAAATAGCAATTAAACTTATCATTAAATCGCAAAGATATCTGATTTTTTTTTTAAGTTGCTTGAGGGAGAATCTGGAATGATCGGGAATTAGCTGATGGTTCGTACGCTAGTCAATTTATTTTGCTATAGCAAGGCGAGAATCTACTTTCATCATTGAGGCTCTTGCACCTAGTGTTCTTACTTTCACAACTTTCGATCGGCATTGCAACTAAACGTCCGTCGACCCTGAAGCGCAAGCGCTATGTGCGAAGATTACGGAAACATTCTCCTCGGATCGCGTATAGGTAATGGCAAGGGGAAAACTACGAGAAACGTGATTTTTCAGAATGCGATAACGGCTGCGTGTTTCTTATCCAAAAGCATAGACCGACGACTGTCGGCCTCGACAAACGGGCACGGCAATTTTGCAATTTTCACTCAGCGAAGCTGAAAGCTAGTAATAATATCACCCGTGCATTACAATTATACGGGACATTTTGGAAAACGACGGCGTAGGTGACCACAGGAAACATCCAACGAGAAACGCTTGCTCGCCCGGGAAAATTGGACGCTGGGACAATTGCGCGCGGCGTGCACGCCGCGCGTATTTCGCAATTTTCGTTTACGATCGGAGATAAAATGCGGCTAGGGTCCCGCCTCGCGCACACACGTTCGCCACGTTATGCGGATAATGCAAAGAATTATACCGCGAATTCGCGCCGTTTTACGTCCTGATTAAAAGCAACGTTACGTTAAAACGAACTCTGTGGGAAAATCGGGAAATGCGGTATTCGTTCGTACGCGGAACGCTTTTAAATCCTCATATTTGCACAGTGTGGAATGTATCGTCGCGGTGGACCCTGATACGCGGAAATTTCCAACATGAATGTATTAATTATACATTCGTGTCGATCCTCGACGCGCGAATGCGTATTCGTTAAATTTAGGATGTGATATAAAAACCAGGGAAGGAGATGTTTCTAAATTTTCATATTGATAATCTAGTCTGCGACACAACTAATTAAATTATTCTAAAAATCAAAACGCATTATTCCAGGTTCATTATTTTACAATCAATTACATTTCGCAAAAAAACTTTAAGAAGTTATTTGTATTTGCAAAGTGGGTTTATATAATATTTCGTCAGCGACTATATACATTGATTTCTATTTATCATCGTCTTAGAGTACTTCTTGTCGCCTCTTGTCAGCCTTTATTAGGAATTGTAAAAACACGATCCACGGATCTTACGTTGCGTCGGATCGCAAATTAAGGATTGCGTCGTACGCATTTTTGAAAGTGTGTTGGCTGGCTGAAAATTACCGCGAAAGTCCGCCGTGTCTTACGTAAATCCCGTCCGAAAATGCGCATCTCTTGCCGCACCTCGCCGTAACTATCCCCAACGAGCACTTTCCTTTTCACAGGTTATTCAATCCATATACTTTCTCCGCGACATGGCGGTACATGTCATTTCGCATCTACCGTTCGGCCTTCCCGGAACTTCGACTTCCTACAAACATTTATTCGCGATAGGCAAACGCCGCGAGCTGATAGACAGCACTGCGTTTTATTACTTCGAACTTCGGTGATTAACTTGTCGCTCATATGATATGGCGCTAAAGAAACGCTCGTCGATCGTTTTGCGTTCATCGCGGATTGAAGTGTTGATTTCATTTTCGAGACGAACGTAAATTTCTTGCATTATTCACGAATAAAGTGCAAACCGCATGTGTACTCTCTGTTTTGCATGCTTTTTACACGCTACAAGAAACAAATAAATTAATATGCACACTTCTATTGACAATTTTCGGTTTGTTCTTTCACAAAATAGTATGTCTCATTAGCATTTACTTAACTTTTCGTTTCTTATGATAATAACTAGAAATGGGAACTTCTTGTATTTTGTTATCTCTTTTCTCTGACAGCATTTGTTCTATAAAATAGTAATTCGAGTAATAAACAAATAAAGAAAGTAGTAATCATAATATCGCGATAAACAACATAAAAATTGAAGGAGCATTTATACAATATATCGTAAATCGGTGGATTTAAGTAGTTTATCCCTAAAGCGACAAGCTCAAATAAAAGTCTTATATTTATTACGGCCGTTCACTTCCGTCCGTGTGTCAAACGAAAACGACGTCGACGAACAGTAAAATGAATTGACGCAGAAAAGCGAGTTCCATTAGAAAGTATAATGAACCAAAACGACAGCATTGTCTCGACGTATAGTACGTTTTTGTTTTCGTTTAAATGCACGATATTTTTTACACAACATTGCACACTCGTTAAAAGTTAAACGTGTAATTGCGATAAGATAAAAATTCCGCAGTCTTAATTAAACGAGAGACAGAAGCGTCTATAAAATAGAAGTTACGCGGGAGGGAGACGATTGTGGAAAATATTAGCTCTTGTATTAAAACTTCCCGGAAAGTTTCCAAATAGAACTTTAAATATAATTAGAAGTCGTAGGTAGGGCAAATGCAGCGCACGTTATCTTTCACGCGTCTTCATTGTCTTCCTGGCGCGAAAGTGGGCGCCATCCCCGAGCGAGAGAGAATCGCCCTAGGAACGATCCTTGCGCCGCGGTTAATGTCCCGGAAGGATCCGAGCTTTATATTTACTTTTATGCCTGCGTAAACGCCAGTCCATTCTGACGCATCTCGGGGCTCGATTTTTATCGACGCAGATCGCTCCGGGTTAAACCGATCAAGATGGAGAGGCTAAAAAGCCGTTTTGCGTTTATTCGTTATATCCTTGGCGCCCCTTCGAAGTCAGGATACTCAGGATACGGAATCGTAAAGGGAGGAAGAGCTTCCTCTCTTTCTTTCTCGAAAGAGAAAAACGTCTTCCGGGAGCCATGCGTGACGAAACTGCTGCGCTTTTACTCTCCTGATAGATCAAACGATTTCTCGAAGAATTCAGCACGGTATTCGTTCGCTTTTGACGGAATCAGGATGATTTTTAAGGCGGAAGATCGTCGGCAATCGACGTCGATTTTAGTTCCCACGGGAATCCGAGGAAATAGATTTGCAAAGCAACGTGTGAGAATTCCCGGAAAAAAGTCCGGAAGAAAGCGATTTGCCTTGCCGCTCGTATTCCGTGGTAATAGTTTATAAGTTTACTTCAATAACGCTTTCTACAAGCATCTTTAAATTATTCTTCCAACTAAAAGAAGAACGAGAGAAATCGAAGTATTACGAGCTTGTTTAAAGTGGAATATTATTGTGGACGATTTCGAATTTATGACGTTTTAGAAGAGATGATGAGATTTTGTTTGTTCCCCTTTGACTTGCCTGGAAATGCAAATGCGGGTACATTGAAGGAGAGAAAGGATCTGATATATCCTTTTTGCTGGGTGTAACCGGATTTTGCATGGACACATTTACCGGTTGGTGTCGATATCGAAAGTAAAAGGCAAGTCACCTTGTGCTGGTTCTTACACATCGTGCCAGTAACCAGTTTAATAGTCAACTGTTTCGACATTCGACTTGGTTTTGTAGTGGTTTGTCAGAGGAAAATATTTTTAAGATTACCCCGATATTTGAAACGTTGTATATCCATAAATAGTAACATCTATATTAAAATTAACGAATTGCGTTTCACGAAAATTTGTTACGCTAATAAAAGCTCCATTGTTATTTTCAGGGATACAAGTCTGAGTACGATGGCGGAAGTTCCGTCGAGGTACCACTTCGCGGCTCACATGGGTCAACTGATTTCCGGTATAGAAGGTCAGGGCTGCCATAACTTTTACCCGACGTGTCCGTTGCCGGGTATCAGCGTTCTGAACATGATGAAGAAGGTTCGTCTACGCTGATGAGTCGTAACCACTGTAACTGTCGGAGTTGACGAATACTGAACCTGTGATACTGCGGATACTTTGTTTTTACTTGCGTTCGGAAGATCATTAACATGATAAGAATTCAATTCGCGCAGCGATGAATCGCGTTTTTGGCGATGCAACATGTAAATGGTGTACATAAGGTTTCGTGATAATATATCGCAATTACTATAAGGAAAAAATGGCAATGTTCTTCGGCGTTTGAAATCTTATTTATACCGTAAAATAAAAGTTTTTAGCTCGTAAATTGAAATCATAAATTGTTAACATTATAGAAAAGTATCTGACCTAATATTGTTAACGTCTGATTTCTTTAATCCCAAAAAACTATTTCGTCAGATTTTACAATCAGTTGGTATGTAAATAATTTACTTTTTGTGAATTTAAAATATGACACATGTATATGCATATTCATGCTCAATATTACTATTTATTTATTTGTTAACAAGAACTCATCTTACTTATATATATTTCTTTCACTCACTTTTGATACACCGTATATTTCAGATTTTATATTTCGGAAATCTTATGTAATTAACGTGTACCCACAATCACTTATTTTTGTAACTTCGTATTGTTATACTGTATATATTATTATGTTTTAATTTTTAATAAAAAATTAAAAAAAATAAATTCCATCTTAAAAACACTGAATATTCTCTATTTTCTGATTATAAAATATTCCTATACTTTACATATAATTTAATTTTAAATTTTATTATATATTTTAGGAACCTTATTTTTATAACGCGTATGTATAATTCCTTAATTTCGTAATTTTGTACATTTTTATATTATAAATATTACTGTGTTTCAGTAAGAAATGGCAAACGAATTTGCTACTAGAGAACACACCAAACATTTCTTTTTTGTTGCGAAATATCCCCCCGGACATTGTCATAAGTTCACTGTATGTATGTGATCCCAAAATCGTGCATTTCCGTAGGAGGTCCCATGGTGACGCTTTGCCAAATTATCAGAATTCCCGATCTTCGTTCTATACCCTATTCTTTTTCCTATTTTAATACAAGACTGCCATTCCCGGATATAATCCGAAACCCAGCGGGGAAACGCGCGAAAATTATTAGAATAATCGTCGGCGTCTTTATCGACTTAAGCCCGATGCCAACTCGTCCCGAGTGGACGTTTCCCAACGAACCATGCGATCGTAAACGAGATCGTGCCAAGAGTTCTCGGTTAGCAGTTAGGACTGGCGCGATATGCGAGGACGAACGGGATGTAATGCCGATGAAACCGCGCCACTAACCGTTCCCATCGCCCTCCGAAACAGCCAGCGACACATTCGGAAATCTCGCAAAAATTATCGCGCGATATCGCCGTAGGAGTTTATTGACGTTTCTCGCGCCGATGCCAAGCCACGCGCGCGATTTCCAGCTGCAATTTCCGACTCATCTTTCGTAACGCACAATACAACCATAACTGAAGTCAGAAAAACTTTATTGATTTTTCTAAAAACGACGGATGATATTAATAACTAAAATTAATTATTAGTCCGCTCTATTGAGACATCAATACACATATAGACTGTTGTAATCGTTCCAAGAAGTTCCTCGAATATTTGCCATAAATGCACGACTTATTGCATTTCGATTGCGTTCACGTAACATTGCATTGTGCGCTGCATACGTGATTGATTATACGAAGACTTGACCACTGGAAAGTAGGACAATAGAGCCAGAAAAGAAAATGTTAATCATTAAGCAATAAGGTAATGTGTAACCTATATATTTCGTATGTGGCACGATTAAAATATTCAAAATGTTCAGGATTCGTAATAAAAATATATTTTATCATATTTTGTACGAGTTGCGTCTTGAGTGATATTCCTTAAACTATTCGAATAATTTATCACGTATTTATATAGGTGACGAAACAGAAAGAATTTCCACATACCTCTTTGAATGTCAAAAGTTTAAATAAAATGATTGGATTAAAATACCGTGAAGTTTCAAAAAATGCATGATGTGTTTAAATCAATATCTCGCTACCCTGCTAAGAATTTCGTTTGCAACTAAGTATGCGACAATTATATATAGCGATACGAAAAAATGCTCCCTCGATATTTATCTAAAATTGATTTGCTAGAAAATATCGACAATAAGTCAAATCGTCGCGTATCAATTTCGAAAGAACACACACGACTTTCACATTGGCACATTGGCACATCGACCTTGACAGGGAGAACAAAGTTACGTCCGCGAAGGCTCATCCTCAACGATCTGACACGAGGAAGTCCGAAAAGGTATACCAAATCTTGTAACACGAAACTGTTGGATCGAAGGCGCCGCCGGGAAGGGGCAATCACTTTCTCTTCGCCGGCATGAGCGACGGCCTCATGATACTCCAAGGAACATTCAGCAACAAGTTTTTACCAAAGCAGCAACTAGTCGTCGGTCCGTTGGTTGTACGTGTAACCGGTACGCCAAAATTACGCGGGTACGTTGGCGCAGCTGCGGAAGTGCGTGTTTTTTAGGTGATACGTGCGGTTCGCATGATCGAACGCGAAAATATATCGGCGGTATAGGTGCAGCGACTTATACGTCTGTTATGAATTGCATGATAATGGTGCTTTGATATAACGGTAACGATCGATCTATTTGCGGAGGCGCGATTGGACGATTTGGACGTGAAGTGCGTGACTAAGGTTTCGTAGATACGTAGAGAACGTAGAGTTTCATTGAAGGAAAAAGTGAACCTTCCGATCAACTAAAATATTTTCATAACACAAAGTGTAATTCATAGTGTTTTTTCTTAAATTATTATTATAACTTGTAATTTTGAAACAATCATAGAATTAAATTAAAAAAAAAAATGATTTAAGAAGATAAATTATAAACCATTGTATGTAACGCATTTAATTGCACACGAGGATTGTTTCTTTATATGTACAGTAATGTAAAGTAGTTATTCTTTTGTGTTAAGTAGAGAAAGCTGCACGCGACGGAAGGAAGAAGTACTCACAATAGCGGAAGCTAATCTCCACGACCGTGTTTAGTCAAGTCAGTTTCACAACACTTTTACAATAATTAACGAATGCCTTAGATCTACTACATAATGCAGTTGCCGCGGACATTCTTGCTCTTTGGTTGCTGCTTTCTGACATTGACACTTGTGGCCGGTCAAAAAGAGCCAATCTTCGACCTTCCAGTGCAATTGATTGGGTTTCCGGTAATTATAGCAAGCGTAAGAATCACCAACTTCCTCAAGAAGCTCGCTTATGCTTTGAGTCCAGGTAATGCGCATAGAAAATATTTTATAATAATGCAGTTCTTATTCACAAACACGTATATATTACATGACGGATATTTTTGAAATATAATAAGCATCAGGAGCATGAATAGATCGAATCGGCTAAAGAGGAAATACTATAAGAATTATCGGGAAATTCTTGTCAGTATTATGATTCACCAAGCGTGAAAAAGTATTACATGTCATAAGTTATTTATCTTTTCCGCGGTTAACTCACTGAATATGCGAATCAAATTGGCGAACAGCGAAAGCGAAAGTGTTGTTGTTGCAACTTCTCTCTTCGATCACGAAACCATGTAATGACATGGTAATTGACTGAGGTTACTTACCGTTAAATGAATACGTACGCCAAGAGATCGGAACAAGGCCGTAATGGCAAAAATCAAAATACTTTAAAACTACCAGACGAGTTAATTGAAGCAACAAATTAAAAGATTCATCGTAATTAAGAAATTATGTGCTACTTATTATACACTAAGGGGAAAGTTTTGCAAAAATTTCTAACATTCTAGATAGGTAGTTATTAAATCTTAATAAACTGAATCAAATCTCTTTAAATTACTTTGCAAATCTTTCAAAAGTATTTTCTTTGAATTCTTAGATACTTATGTCAGTCGAGTGAAACGAGCACATCCTTTGATACACGACGAAGAGATCTTAGATGTCAGCCAAGTCGAAAAGAAGCTAGTAGCTGAGCTCGGAAATAACGTTTGCATCTACGAGAGAATTTGTGTCAAGTACGCGGAACAAACCCTTCAAAGAAGAAGCTGGGAACGCGTTCTTAATTGGAACGAGATATTCAGGTACGATATAAATGACTACGATATTGTAACCGCTATAATTTATCTGATAATTTCGATTAAAAAAATACCTATAATATATTGAGAGTTTGCATTTGATAAGTATTAAAGAAAACTTATAATACCTGAAAAAAAGTTAAAGATATATAATCGATATATTCAGGACGAGGGAGCACATTATCGTTACAACTCTCTCGTGATTGTGTTATACAATCGTGACTCTGAAGTTCACGGCTCGAAGAATTTGTGTCTCGAACACAGGTTTCATGTATAAGCGTTTCTCCTTGATTAGGAAATACAATCGATACGAGTTTTCCTTTTAACGAATTCATTAAAGCAACGAGAAGCTGCTGCTCCATTTGTGCGGTGATTTGTAACATTTCGTGTACTTTATTCACTTTTGCAAGATTAAGGTATTTTACTCAAGATGAAGGCAACGAGTGATAACTTTCTAATGTAAAAGGTGACTTTTCTTTTTAATATGCGAAATCGTGTGAAAACAATATCTCTAATAATGGATTTTTTAATAAAAAATTCGAGGAAATTATTATTTGACGCGTTAAACATCTTAGTATAAATAATTAAAATTTAACGTAAAATTTTAAAATTGTTAACACATATTAACGCGCGAGTTTTTAAGTCATTTTTTGTTTTTGTAAGACATTAAAGTAAATACATGCCATACACAGCTTTGTCGTATCTTGTCGAATTATCGGAAGAAAAAAATTAATTCTTTCTAATCAGAAAAAATTAAATCGCTACCTATGGAGACACATGGTTCCTAATCAATCAATAGGCGGTCAAAACGTATGGTAACGCGTCGTAAAATCGTAGCGAAGATAATGTCAAAATGCAACCTACAAATTCTTAAAAGAAAGTGCATTCAGAGGTACTCTGTTAATGGCGACGGAACATTTTCCTCCCTAGCTTCTGCCCTCATTCTTTACGCACCCATTGAAAAATATAATAGAAATCCCTGCTACCGCGTCTACGCGCTCTGCGCAACCGTTTCCCGTCTTCTCGGGACTTACACTAAATTCAGTTGTAACGCCGGGAGCAAATAGCCTTTAATGGTGTCTCTACGAGCGCTCTAATGCATTCTGATAACTGTGTCCTTCTCTTCATCGTCGATCGTCTCTTCCGATCGTTCTCGTGACTTCGCCGCTATACGTGTCCAGGCAGACTCCGTTTTACGATTGCCCTACTATCCGGACCCGTAAGTTTGAGGACCTGTCAGCTTATCTCGGACCTCCTAATGCCCCGCAGCTCGAGATAGCGAGCACGTGTCGCCGTACCTGTCGACGCACGATGCGTCTCTCCATATGCATTTCGTACCTTGGGTCTCCTCGTCACCTGCGGGCACCTCTCACGTAGGAGGTAGGAATATTCAAGATGCGGGAGACCGAGAGACCCGCAGGGGCAGAGGAGAGAACAGATAAATTGGAGATTGGGTACTGGCGGCAACTACCGTCTAGACGGACTTAACCGACCATGTGTGAGGGACGAAGCTGTCCCGAGATCGTTCCGAACACCTTCTCCGACTAGTCTCGGGGAAAGCGGTCAGTTGTGGAAGGATTGTATAAGCGGAGTGGCGTCATTAGAAATTAGGAATCCATTTAGGCGAGATAGCGATGTCGCGTAGACGACGACAATGACTAGGCGATAAGACATGTCGACGGTCGTTTTATAGGCGATACGATACAGTGTGTAAACAAACATATATACACACTTAAGGAAATATTATATTTCTTATCGTTTCTCTATTTTTCTCTTCTCTCTTTTCTCTCTTTCCTCTTTTCTTCTACTTTTTTTCTCGTCTCTCTTTTAATACACATTTGCATGGTACAACGAGGTAATGTTGCCAATAATTTGCGTTATCATGATTTTGCAGGGAGTACAAGTCGTCGTCCAACCCGATGAAAGAGAATTACTTACTGAGCGTCTTTATGGGCGACATTATTGGCAGTCCGAAGCTATGTCACTTATTGGCGAAGAGAGGAAGAGCCTGCGATAATGCCACCTTGTCAGATTAGCTAAATGCATAATGTGAAGTACTCAAATCGTCTTGTTAAGTTATAAATATCTTGATGCCATAAAAAGTTTAAATACTCATGATCACAAAATAAATTACAATCTGTTTTTTGTGTTAATTTTTGTGTAAAATGTCGATGCATGTGTTTGTACAATCATAATCCTTTATATCGATTGTATAAAAGATATATTCCTCTTTTTATCATGTAATTATTATTTCTGTTATTGTTCGACTGATTTAAATCAAACTGTAATTTCGTTTTTAACAAAAATGCAAATTAAATACATAAAAAATTGTCACGAGAAACATATAATTGTGTAATATAGCAAATATATAAATATTTTAATATTTTATTTATAATTGTAGATTCAAATACGTCTCTTGCTTTGGTGTGATTTCGTATTTCTTCGATATATGTCCATGACATAAACAGCTTCCATCATGTAATGCATCATTACATGTACTTCACTGTTATTATGTGAAAATAAATCGTTTGACATTTAAGGAACCATGCATCCATGAATCCACTCATTTTCGAAGAGCTCTTGCGAAAATAATGCCATTTCGTGTTGGGTTCTTCACCCGTACATTTACTTATGCACACAGACACACATACACACACGAATGTGAAACGCACATATGGAGTGAGAGTTGCTTATAGTGGCGCGTTACTACCCACGTCTTTACGGCCGAACGGTTAACCAGAGGATTGGTTTCGAAGAAAGTTTCAGTTGGCGCAAAACCTAGAAAGGCGACGCGATCGTTTGCATTAAGAGAAAAAAGAAATAGTTAAATACGAAACTGTGTTATTATAAATTTAAAAAATTAAAATAAATAAAAATTCGTGAATTGCCTAATTCGTAGAATTAGACAACAGTACGTTTACCGTAAAACGCTTTGTGAGGAGACATTAATATTACAATTTTATGCAATGTGATGAAAGTGTTTTAATGTTCTAATATTATATTTAACAGTGTTGCGTTAAAAATGAAGTAAAGTTAAATTTTACATCTTCTACCGAAGAAAAGAGATTTGTATTTATTTAAAATAAAGATAGTTTACAGTTATACGCCGCGAAATGATAAGTAAATTTATCTTCGTTTGGTGCCTCTCATATTTATGTTCTGAAGCTTATGCCGAACATTCATCACAATATTCCCAAGAATCATCTGACAATACTCAATGCATTTTTAATGTTTCTCGGAAAACTTACAATGTAACAGATTTATTACGGTAAGTAATAACCCAATATTCTCTATCGGCAGAATATATTGACGAAAATATTTAAATGGAAATATTATTGCGTTTGTATAAGAATAATAATGAAAAGTCGTCATTATTTATGTTCAATCGAGTCAATTAATCATACAGATGCATGGATGAACTCACTATCGATCTTTTCGCTCAAAACAATGATCGATCGTTAATTGTAAGACGAACGAGCCAAACGGATTCGTCAGTATACAAAGAAAATTCTTACGGATTTCCTTATGGAAATATAATCTTAAATCTACTTAATAATGCCCAAGTTCCATCGGTAAGTTTAATTTTTATATTCTCAATATATTCTGACAGTGTAAGATTTACTATTGTTTATTAATATACTAAAAATCTTTTACAGGAATATCATGATTTTCCATTAGATTTTACTACCAGTAATTATCAAGATACACTGAACGATCGTCCTAACCAATTTGGCGGATTTGGAGTAAATCTTTTCAACGCGCTGTCATCGATCTCTCGCCACGATGATTTGAAGTGTGTGCCCAGAATACTCTGCGAGATGGCGAGTGGAAAGCCACCGGGAGAATATAAGCGAGCATCAACAGAGAATAAGGAGCAATATTTAGGAGAATTTGGAAGAAATGCCTTCAATCAGTCCGTATTTTTTTATAATATATGTAATAAAAAATTTTTAATAACGTATAACGTATTTTTTAAATTAATCATAGCAAAGTTATTACGTACTTTTTTTTATATTACCAGGTTGCTTGTCGGACTGGCAGAAACATCTCCTATATTGAGTTTTGCCCGAGCGGCCGTTTTGGGTTACAGCAGTAATGGAAATCCGACCATGTGTTACCGCGCGTTCCCCAAGTGTCCGCGTAATCCCGACAAACTGGTGCATTATCTGAACAATTACAATGGTGGATTCTTCCGGTTCTTCAGCAAAGCCGGACATGGGAGTTATCCTCAATCATCTTACGCTTCGCGAGGTAAAGGATGCGCCGTAGATTTGTCACGGGCGACATTCAAATTCAAGATTTTGTATGAGTTAAATCGCTTTCGTTTCTTGACAGATAATTCGGAATTTCTCAGAGAAAGAAAACGAAAAGCTCCGCCGCCGGGCATCGCCGGAGACGAGGCTGATCGTACCGGAACAGGGAAGCTAAAGTTTGACATCCCCGTTTTGACTGCTCACCAAGATTACGGAAAAAGCTTCTTCCCGAGAGAAAATACATTGGAGAACTCGGGACGAGTGGTTTTCCCGATTCACGAGGAATCAGATGATCGCCCATTGAAAAACAGGATTCTTAAATCCCTATCGGACTTACGAGACTCCGATGTGAATACATTTTCGCAAGACTCTGCGTTGGTTTTCCCTCAGGTAATATTATATCTCTTTGTAGTTAGAAAAATTAACAAAAATAAAAAATAATGAAGAACAAAATAAAATTGAATGAAAATAAAATAGCAAGTGATACAAGTATACTGTAATAATTTTTATAATAAAGTCACATTTCATGAAATATTTTCCAGGAATCGGAAGATCAAGGTGTCCGCGTTTTGCGTTTTATTCCTGAATCTCCGGACTCGACATCCCACAGTGCATTTCGGTTTCCACGTTAATACTATCGAATTTTTTCCTTCTGACTAAAATTTTAAATAATATTTAGGCCTATTGATTGTTGCATTTTATTATTAAATTGATCTAAATGCTATATAATCCGAAAAAATTAATCAAGCTAATTTTATTGCTATTATTTAATATGTATACTAATATCCATGAACAACAAGAGCAAACATGTATATTTTTTAAATTTATATTTTACATTCTATCTTCCAAATGGCTCGCAATGGGATATATAAATGAGAGGGAGGAACAAGTCATTCAACCCTTTTTATGCTGAATTCATCCTTTCAATGTTATATAGTTATTCAATCCTTTCATCCATTATATCACATTGACGTGCGTAGCCAGCAAAATACCAGAAATTGTAGATTCAGCTGGAAATGCAATTTTGATTTCGATAAGCAAGCATTCTACGTGACCAAGCATATTTTATCTTCGCAAAGGATTCTCTATTATTCACATCGCGAATATTCACTTTCTATCATAATGGATAAACAACCTTTTCAATGTATATTTTCCGCGAAATACAGTTTTTAAATTAATAAATCAGTTTAGGTACAAAATTTGTCAGATTTTCATGAATTTTGTTAAAATAAATTCTCATTACAACAAAAATTATTAGTAGCTTATTTTATGAAGCTAAAATTATAATTAAAACATTTTGCAGCATTTATATAAAGTAATTTCTGTTGTAATAGAAACAGAAAACACAATGCAGATGATTTCCGGAATTATAAATTATTCTTAGCATTCATTTATGAAATGCTATCTTCAGGGAATATATTTGCCATAAGATTCTTCGCTTAGGTTTGTGCTGACATGCGATCCCCCTTGAGCGTAATAATTTTCTATCATTATCATGAATTTCGCAAAAGCATAAGGCGATAACGTCTATGAGCAACTTGTGGTGTATAGCTTTCCCGCTACTGCTTATAGCAATTTTAGCCACGAGGTCGAAACTTGTTCGATAGGTGATCGCGCGCATACACGGTCTTCCTATAATTCTTCCCATTCATTTCAGATTTTGCTGTCTGACTTGTGTTCTTTTTCTCGCGTTTCATGTGATGATAGCAACACCTTGCGTTTCTCATATGTGCTTGCGTGCGTGAACAGGTACGAGCATTGCTCGACCCGCAGTCTTGAAATATATATAAGTCAGAAATGTATGTACTTTTCAGACCTATAATAACATACACGAGACAGTAATGATTTGATATCTCTTTCTTTAGAAAGTATATCCATCCAGAAATTTAAATAAAATATTTAGACTTGATGTGCGTTTTCTATTAAATAAAAAAAATTAAAAAGCACAAAGAAATTCCCCGCGAAATTCTTCTTTAAGAAAACAATTATTTTCAAAGAATTTGTTGCTCGTAAAAAAAATCGGTTATTAAAATACCTAAAGAGAATACCAAGTTGCAATGCGTGTCATTTTTTCTGTTTTTGGTGTGAAACGTTTGTCACGCGGAGTCACAGCTGCAAAATTCACGTATGACTTTCTCCAAATAGCGGCTCACCGCTCGGTGACGTTGTAGAAATAGAACGCGCAACGTCGAAAAAGCGGCAGACAACGTGTAATTATTTTATCCTTTCTGGCGTGTAATTTGGGGCGTGCACCACGTTCGTGAACTCGCTGACTCGATGCAGGGGGCGGGAGACGTGGAAATGGTGTGGCCGGAGTCCACGGCAATGCCGTAGCCCAGAGGGGCGTGTGTCTCGGACAGGGCCAAGTGGGGTGCAACTGACAGCGGAAGACAATTAGCCTTCTGATACATCCAATGTCGCGTGATATGCTTCGCGTAGGAACTTTACAAAGATTCGTTTCACGCATCGCAACACACGGAGCAAAATACGGGGCGCTATGGAGGCCGTTGATTCGTAATCTACTGTAGGAAATATAATACACAAGGAAGTCATGCAATTAACTGACCTACGTATATTCTATTATGTTTGGATTTTAATATTTAAGAAAAAAACGTTTCGGTAAAAACTTTAATGTAGAACTTTTGTCAGAATTTTTGAGTGACACCGCAAATTCATAATTTTAACAATGAGTTGCAAAAAACTCGAGGATCGTTAAATGACGCCAATGGGTCAAACTCGCACGCTAGCAAGTTGTAACAGGTTTAGTCGGGCGAGGATACGAT